GAATCAAAATTACACAACACAATGTCTCTTTCTTATTAAATGAGCTAATAAGTAAAAAAAAATTACCAAATACCATGTGTTAAATAACTTTGAATTAGCAAGAAAAGAAACTGCTGGGGGAAAATTAACTATTGTACATCTTCTCCCCTAGAATACTTTTAGATCTTCAAGACACCATGTTTAGTTTGGTTTGTGTGGTCCCGCTAGGCATCGCAACAGTGCAGACTCTGACTTGGAGCTCCTTCTCCATCAGGAACAGAGCAGACTACTCAGGGACCGTCTAATCACAGCTGCCGCGCTGGACGGCAGTTGCAATACTCCTTCAAGTGCTTGTCAGTTGTTACAGGTTATGCTGTGCTCAAAGGCAAAAATGATCCTTACACCCTCCCATTTGTAAACCAAAGCAAATAAAACAGAACCTGACAGGGTGTTTTGAGAGCTTTTTGACTCTCTGAGTTAAAGTCTATCTGTGGGCTGTTTTCTGGCATTCTTACAGCCTGGAACCTGGGATTCTTCCTCACCACCAGACTGCCTGTGTTCCTAGAGCCAGTTGGTCAGTACACACCACTCCTTGAAATTCTTCAAACCTTATATTGCTTCTTTGACAAATTTTGTGATGACAGCATTCTTCCCTCTTTTTTCTACTGGGGCTAGGACCCTTTTGTGTGGTAGGCAAATGTTCTACCACTGAGCAATGTTTTTAAACTGTTTTTATTTTATTTTATTTTGTGGCAGGGTTTCATTAAGTTGTCCTGGCACGTTTTGAACTCACATTGCAACCCTGTCAAGCATTGAACTAGCAATCATCCCATTTCAGCTTCCCAAGTAGTTGGGATTACAGGTCTGTGCCACCAAGAACAGGCCTCCTGTACACCTTTCCGCATCAACACTGTGTCACCATTGTCTGCATATTTTTCTGTAATGAAAGCAATGATGGTCACTGCACTCCTTGATTTGGAATGTGTCGCAAAACTATTATAGTGAAAACAGCACAGAAACTTTTACTGCTCTTTCTTACAGATTCCTCCCTGAGTTTTTTAAAGTTTGTGTGAGATTGAACTCAGGCTCTCAGCTTGAAAGCAGGCTTAACATCTGAGCCACTTCCTCAACTTCACTGTAGGCTTTTATAATCCATAAAACAATCACAAAATCAAGACTGCTTTGGGCAGTGTTAAAAAAGTGAAAATGAGACAGGCGTTGGTGGCACACGCCTTTAGTCCCAGCACTTGGATCTCTGTGAGTTTGAGACCAGCCTGGTCTACAAGAGCTAGTTCTAGGACAGCCTCCAAAGCCACAGAGAAACCCTGTCTTGCAAAACAAAAAACAAAAACAAAGAAAATGAAAATGTAACCCATAAACTGCAAGGCAATGTTTACAAAATGCCTAGTGATAAAGGACTATTTTTGAACTATAAAAGGCTCTAAATTCAATTGAAAATGACAATTTAATTTAAAAACATGTAAAGATTTGAATAGACACTTCATCAAAGATGACACATAGTACCTGGAAAGGTGATTAACATTATTGTTCATTTGGAAAATATGCAACAAACCAATAATGGCAAAGATAGCATGGTATAAGAATGAGAATGGCTGAAATAAAAACTGACAATAAACCAAATGCTGAGAAGGATTTGGGTTTCCCCAACACACACATTCTAGGTACGAATTAAGATGATATAGATGCTTTGAAAAATAGGAGCTTTTCTTGTAAGGAAGTACGGGTTTCACATTTGATCTGGAAATCTCACTATTAACTTGCCCAAGAAAAGTGAAAATTCATGTTCATGCATAACACATATGTAAATCCTCATAGTGGCCTCATTCATATATCCAAAAAATAATGGAAACAACCAAAATGCCCCCTGGCTGGTAAATTGACCCATGATTGTGGTACATCTACATCTTGGATTACTATGCAGCAATAGAAAGGATCTTTACTGGATGTCAAGTACATTAAGCTAATGCAAGAAGCCAGATACAAAAGACTATGTATTGTATGGTTTGCATTAAGCTAATGCAAGAAGCCAGATACAAAAGACTATGTATTGTATGGTTCCATTTGCAGGATATCCTGGAAAAGGCAAGTATGTCAGTGCAGAAGACACAGAAGTGGCTGCTATAGCCTGGAGTTGGATGTTGATTACAAAGGGGCACAGGTATTTTTTTAGGTTAGGGGGTATTTTGTATCTTACTTTTGGTGGTGGTCACACAATTGCATATGTTTGTCAACATTCATGAATTATACACAAAAGAAAACAAGTTATCTTTAAAAACATAAAGTTGATAGTATCACTCGTTCTCATTGTATTCTTAGAAGGCTACCTTGTTGCTGTCTCACAGATGCCATCAGGAAATAAGGCTTTTTCTTCTGGATTACCACAGCAGACTGTATAAAATATCTCATGACTCTCAGATACATTTTGTTAGGTCATTATTGCTTCTGTTGAAGACCCTCCTTCTGTCTTCTCTTCGTGAACCATATCGAAAGCTCCATGTTTATAGAATTCTGAAGTAGTACACCTGGAGAATTCTACAAACCTGCATTTTAACCAATGCCAGGGTGGTGCTAGTGTGCGGAGGCCTATCCACAGCACTAGGAGGCAGCAGAGTGTTGAGGGGGGATGAAGGAATTCTGTAAGACTGCTAGGTTTAAAATCTTGCCTTACCCCTTTTGCAAAGGAAACTTGGGTGCCTTGCAGGTTGATGCAAGAAAAAGAAGGTGGAAATAGGAGGAACAATTTCACCAGAGTCATGAGGATTAAAAAAAGGATGCACATAAGACACCCAGCACAGTGCCTGGCACCAAGTACATGCTGTCGTTGTTTTAAGTGGCAGGTAGTACCCACGCAGCAATGTAGGAAGGGACTCTCTTTCTGGATGAGTAGGCTGTGACCTAGATAAAGAATTCCATGAGGCAGAAATATGTCTTTTTCCATGTCCATGTCTTGAGTTCTTTCTGGATGCTTCACAATGGACTGGGCAAACTTCATATTATGAAACAGCAGGTAGAGTATGCATGCATCTGTGCCTGCATGTAATATGCATGAATGACAAAGGCAAAGGATTTTATTTTGTATCATAAGAAGCTGAAAATTTGTTCTATACAGTTCTTCTTCTTCTTCCTCCTCCTCCTCCTCCTCCCCTCCTCCTCCTCCTCCTCCTCCTCCTT